CCATCTCCTAAGTACGACGATCGAGGGCAAAATGAATGCGGAGAATGTTTTCACGTATTCCCGTCATTTGTTACGACTGAAAGTATCTCCTGCATAAGCGTCTTTCAATATTTTATATCTAATTTAAATTAATCCTCTAGCGTTCCGTGATATCGATTGGGGGAGATTTAACGTATAAGCCCTTCGTGATCTGCTGGAATACTTTGGAGTACTTGGCACGGCCGATTTTTATGATTTTCATGATTTTGATATTTTGCCTCCGGTAAACATTCCGTCCGTAAGAAGTCCGATCAGCTGACTAGGTGACGTAAACTCCCGGCCGCTTTCCCGGGTCGCCATCGGCGGTTCTTTTTCCGCGGATCATTGGCGAGGTTCTCGGCCGAGGATCAGGAGGGCACGCGAAACGCGGCACTGGGGTACTCGAGTTGTCGTCCCGTTTCATTTTACGACTTTGCAACATCCGTCCGAGCGCGCCGGAGCGGAGCGCTCCTCGAGTCGTCGGCCATTCGCTCGGCCGCGAGAAAGTCTCGCGAAATCTGAAAATCCCTCGACGAAACCTGCGCATTTCACTTTTCCTCCTTTTTGACAAACCAAGGAACCGATCCTTGCGAGCTTACAAATTAATCTCGTATACAGTAGCCTCCCATACAATGGGAGTTCTTGCAACGGGAATTCCTACGACGCGCCTACTCTTCTCATATATCGGGAGTCCACCGAAACGTTTATCTGTCACTTTGAAATCCCCTTAAAAAATTAGAGAAAAAAAAAAGTGCAAAAATTGTAGGAATTTTACGACGGGTCTGTGGAAGGTGCATATCCCAGTCTTTGGAAAAGGGTTCGAGTCCGCGCTCCATCGGTAGTACTCTCGTGCGTCGTTACCGACTGGACCGCGAGATGGCTGGTCGATTTCGCGAGCAGCGACCCCGCGTCTGCGCATGCGCTCTCCGGAAGTCCCGGCCAGAGAATCCCGTTCGAGTAGTTCGCGGGAACGGAACCGCGAGATAGCGCGAGACGCCACGATTTTAGGTTATGTTTCTTCGCCAAGATTTCAAGTTAACTTTCCCGAGAAATGGAATAGCTTGAAAAGAAATTCAAGTGACATCCTTCGTACCGTGGATTTTTATTTCTCTCCCCGTTATAGTTAATTATAATATAATTATTAACATGCCCCGTTCGTAAATTACATCGAGCATAATTTTTGGCCCCTCTTCCCCCGGGTGATGCAATTTTGCCACAATCGACGTGCGCTCCTAATATAGGGCGTTACACTTCGAAATCCTTTCTCCTGTACGGCATAATTTATGGACAGCCCTTAAATCGATATAATTTACGATTCTGTACAGTTGTTTTCTGCGACAGTATATCATACACAAAATAAGCATTCAGGAGCGCCTTCGGAATTTTTTCAGGTTAACGAACCCGTATTTCAAAAGGACGTCCTAAAGACTTCATCCCATTGTTTCTACACGAGGTTATCTTCAAATAATCATGGGAAATACTTTCGACAGTTGTGCGAGTTATTATTGTCGATATGAATATTCCTCCTAGTGTCCGATGAACTTGCTAATAATATCCCCACTTCTAACAACACGTGTTTACACGGTACAGGATGGAATACCTTCTGGAACCCAAAGTGGAACTCCATTCTCGGGGGTGCCATTTCCAGCGTCTCGCCGTCAGCTCTCTCTTTCTCTCTCTCCCCCTTCTTCGGCAGGTGTGGGAAGAGGCCAGCTCCTCTCGACACATCGGCTCCTGATAGGCCGACGGCCCGGTCAGCCGCCATGACCCGGCGGTCCGCGTCCGCGTGCGTTCCTCCGGTTCCGCGCGCGGAACGTCAAGGGCCGGCAGCCGGGACGGCGGGGGGGCTCGGGAGAACCTTATTGATTTTTAGGGTGACACTGTCAACCTACCCGTCGACGTCCGGCGACCAAGTCCCGAGCGAAGGGAAAAAAACGGGCGAGCCGATTCGCGGCGCGCCGCGCGACCCCAGCGCCGCGGCGCGGCCGCGAGCCGAACCTTCGCCGCGGTCCGCCGACCTTCCTTTTTACGCATTTTCTTTTTCGTCACGTTTACGGCCCGCAAAGTACCCCCCTGAGATATATATGTTTTTTCAACGTGCTTTAGAAGCACGGAGATAGGATAAGGATTTGCCCAGGGTAGAAGTCGGACATTGACGTATAAGTTATAAACGACGGTCGCGTAGTGTTATTTATTTATTTCACCTTAATCTTCGCTGTAAAATGCCAAGGCTTTGATCCTTAGAATATGGTCTTATAAATGCCGAGTCGTAGGACCTCAAAGGGTCGAATTGAGATCCTCAAGTGTTTCTTTCCGGGTATTCGTCCCCCGGATATTTAACGATCGATCTCGATTATTATTAAGTATGAATATAAATAAATATCTTTCCTCGATTGGTTGCAGATTTAATCTTCGAAGCGCCCCTCCCCAAGAAAAGCTCAAGTCATCTATTTTTTCTAAATGACGTGTAACTCTCCCGTAGTTGGAAAACTGAAATCAATTGTCTTCACTAAATGTCACGGTACATTTTCCGCCACGTAAGCTTCTCAGTTGTAAGATAGAAGTGACATTATTACAACGTATGAAGATTTTCTCCCGTCGAACATGGGGTGAAAAATCCAGCGATGCATTTAGCGTGGCATAAAGAAAAAAAAAAAATAATAATCTAGCAGTACAGGGAGTATAAGGCGAAGGAAGACGCATGCAACAGGCGTGCAGGCCTCGCTGCCAAAGTTTCTCACTTGCGATCGATGGGAAGTTCCGCCGATCGGTTATTGCGTTCTAAATCCCGAGTTAACTGTAAGAAAATAGCCGCGTCTAAGTCCTACGCGGAGTTCGACGTCCGGATGCAAACTTCTCGCCCGAGTGGGGCTTCGAACTTCCGGCTTCTCGCCGAGCCGCGAGAACAGTCGCGACCGCGAACTCCCGAAGTTCACTCCGCTGATGAAGTTCACTCGCCCCGAAACGGAATCCCCGGAATTCGGGTTCTCAATTCTAGTAGGGCAAGTGCCCTCACAAAAGGGCCGGTTAATTTGTTTCGAGTAAGGGACTTTTTCACTAAAATTCGGTCTTCGTCTTCCCGCGCCGGAAGTGCGTAAAGAGTGCCCTGGCATGTTACCCGCAAAAAAAGACATCCGCTCATCTCCAGATACCGATTTCGTTTTTCACGTTTTCCGAGCATTTCTTTTCTTACTCGACAAAACAAGTGGTCGTGTATTCCTTAAAAAGTACTCCCGTTTTCTTATCGCACCTTTGTTTCGCTTATTACTTAAATAAGGAGTAATCATGAAAGTGGTCTGAATAAAAAGTCAAACACAAAATGAATTTATCCGATACGTTACAATACGCTTTTTAACAAAAAGAGAAGCTCTTAAACCACTTTCATAATCACGAGCGCATACGTCCACGCATACAAAAAAAGACAATTGGTTCATTAAACAAAGTCATTTCGTCAAATTTGATTCATATCGGGGAATATCTCGGTCGGGTGAACCGAATTTTACTTAACTCGATAAACCTGGCTTCACTCAACTAAAGTGGTTAATAAAATCGTTTTTTAAATTTCAAAAAATCCATTAACCAATAAATCAAATATTTCGTTTAAGGGTAGAAAATTAAATCAACGTGCGGGGTGCCCGGTCGCATTTCGCGTAATCAACAAAAATTACCTAACCAAAGGACTTCGTTATATCGATGAAATAATTCGGTCGACATGAGCATCGTCCATATAACACCTACATTCTCCGGTAGGAGGAGCAAAAATAGCATTAAGTACTTCTCCACGTGTAACGGTTACACCGTTGTTACGGAACCCTAGCAGGGTCCGTAAACAAACATCCGTCCGGATTGAATAAAAATTCCTAGAATTCCGAGGTCGAGGCCGATTCTCTCCGCGTTGATTCCTCGCGAAGTGCGGAAGGTCGCGGAATCGAAGTCGCCGAGTTCCGCGGACCGAGAGGGAGGGACGAAGAGGGACATAAAGGGGCCGAGGGAGAGGGCGCGACAAAGCGTCGCGTAAACGGAGAAAGGACAGGAAAGAAGACCGCGCACGCACGGTCCTTCGGCGACGGAAAAGAAAATCGAAGAGAGAGAGTTCGCAGGGCGCTGCAGTACCGACAAAGAGGGTGCGGAAGGGCCGCAAGCCCTTGGGGGTGTGTCGTGGCTCGCGGGTATCCTACCTCCAAGGTTGGCGCAACTCGGCGCGAAGAGGTCGCGGGAGGCGAAGGGAGGTCGAGGGAGGAAAAAAAGGAGAAAACTCGGAGTCGGCGAGCGCGGCGCAGGAGGCGAAAGAAGGAAGAAATGGCGGCGCCCCCCGGGGTCCGGCCTCGCCGCGTCCGTCGCGACGCTCGGCCCGGTTGACGGGCAGGCGCGAGGAAGTGCACGTGGACGTCGAGCGCGCCGATTCCCGGAGGAGATCCGCGCCGAGGTGCGTGCGCGGCTCGCGCCGGCCCTGGGAGCGCACGTGCGTACGTGTTCGCGCGAGTCGCGACCCGCGGCCGCGCGCGCACTCCCCGCAAACGGGCGGTAAACGTCGCGTCGAGTCCTGCGTACGCGGATCACCCGGACACTTGCCTGGGAGTTCGTGGCCCTCGAGAGCCGACATCCGGCCTCGTCCCTGGCGAATCAACCCGCAGCTCCGCAAGAGTCCTCCTCGCCATCTCGGGAGTGTGTATCTCGTGTTTACGATGGGATCCAAGATGGCGGCGTGCGCGCAGGTACCGCGGTGGTCAAGCGAGCGACCGTTACCGAGGTACGCTCGGTGAATTCCCGTAGTAAGTGGGGGGAGGACTAGAGAGGGGCGAGGATTCGACGAGGGAGGGTGATTTTCTGGCTTCCGGCGCAGATCTTTCGCGGAATCTCGGGGAAGTGGAGATCGGCACGGGTGCCTCGGCGCGCGCGTCGGGCCTGCGTAGTCGCGCGTGCGCCCCGCCGCGCAGCGACTCGCGTAGTGTTTATCCGCGGCGGCTCCGCTCGGGCCTCTCTCTCGCGCCGGTCGCCGTGTGCCAGTCGTGTGTACGTGTTGGCGCGTGTTGCGCGTGCCTCGTGTGCCCTGCTCGCGAGAGGGTCCGCGCGTGCGAGGTTCTAAGATGTGACGGGCCGAGGATGGCCGAGAATTGACCGCGAGGCAGCCGAAGCGCGGGCGTCGCAGGTCGGAGCGTGCCCGGGTGGGCGCCGAGTGCGCCGCGAGGCCGCCAGGTGGTGCCACCGCCGGGGCCAGCCAGGAGCGAGTACCGCCAGGGAAATGCCGGCGCCGTCGGGCCCCAGGGCCGCCGTCGCCGACTCGCCGAGGAGAAGAGCCACGTTGTCGCCCCCGCGCGGACGCCGCGACGCCCAGGGCCCCGGAACGCCCTTCTGAGGGTGCATCGCTCCGCGGAGACCGAGCAGAGCCCCGCAGCGCCCGGGACGAGGACCCGATTTTAGGTTAGGTCGCCGGCACCATAACCTCGCCAAGGCGGTGGGCCGCCTCGGTGGACGCCAAGGAGGAGACCGCCCGGCCGGAGCCGACGTTGCCGACGCTTACGCCGGAGCGTCGCTCGGCCGGAGCACCTCACCCCGGCATTCGCTTCGTCGGCGGAACGCTGCGATGGAATGAGCCTCTGGATGGTGGGACAATGAAGGCCAATGGGACTAACAATGGTGATTATGACTCTAAGATCCTTGCAGAAATTGTAGAAACCTCTGCGATGGGCATCGCAGAGGATGGATCGAGGGACTCGGGGCTCCCCGACAAGTTGTGATAAAGATTCCGTTGACGACGGATCGTGGTATGGATGTAGGAGGTTTACGGTAATGGACCGTGGTTAGGTTTGTTGGTTAGCATTCAATTTGTTTTGATGCCGTGAATATACCGGGGCAATTTCAGCTATACTGACCTGAAAGCGTAATGTTTACTCAATGTATGTAGCTGTTGTTTGGTTGATTCTCTAGTGAATAGGTTAACCATGTTGTAACTTATTCAGAGATAATGTTGGAATTGAGATACATAAGGAACGATTGTTTTGATTCTGTTGAGTTAACTGGAAGTGCAATCGTGTGGTATAGGTTATGATGTAGTGATCGAACCGAGTAACTTATATGTCAGGGCATTACTTGGGGATAGGTTATGTTGTAAGAGTGAGAAACTGGGAGTGATAAGTTAGGGGTATTTAGAGTGACGGTATTATGTTGCAGATTAATATGTAGTTACTTGAGAGGATTTGCAGAGAATAATGGAGCAGGTCGATGTGTTTTTCAGGCTGTAGCCGCCTAAGTACGCCATTGGCAGCCACTACCACCCTGGAGGACCCGGGTACTCCCGCCTCCTGGAAGGGCCCTCCGCCCGGCTCGGAGGCTTCGCCGTTTACTCCCAATTCAGTTGGTCAGGGCGGGGGCCCTGGTTCCGGTCCTTATAACAGTACGGGAGGTCCTCCAAGCAACACGGGAGGCTTCCAAGGTCCCAGCCCGTTCCCCGGAGGAGCGGGAAGTCCTGCAGGGGCTCCGCCTTATCAAGGACCTCCGCCAGGGTCTGCGACTCCTCAGTACACCGCGTCCCCTGCCCCGAGTGGATCCTCCACTCCGGGCCCAGGCCCACCACCGAACTCTGCTGGTTTTCCACCACCACCTAATAGTTCCGGTCCCCCGTACAATGGACCTGGACCGAGTCCTTTTGGCTCCCCTTCGGGTGGACCGCCACAGTTCGTCGGAAGGCCCAGCTCCTCCGGACCGCCGTTTGTGCCGTCTGGAGGTGGAAACCCTCACTTCCCTTCACCTGGACAACCGTTTGGCGGACCTCAGTATGGGATGCCACCTGGAAGCCCGTTCGGCCCTGGTGGACATCCCATGGCGGGGCCCATCGGACCTGGACATCCTGCGATGATGGGACCTGGTGGTTCGGTCGACCGGATGGATCAAGGGTGAGTCATTTATTCCATGCTTCTAATTGAGAAAACGTAGAATGGCAAGCAGAACGCTGTCAAATTTTTTATCGCGGAGTCAAGCTCGAATTAATTGCCCCAGGGTGGAATGCTCTCGGTGTCAGTCCTCGCGGTAGACATTCCCATGGGATTGCAAAACGTGGATTTCGACAGCCCACCAATGAGCATCTTTCGGTGATAAAACCATCGTGGAAACCTGATGGTTTCCTTTCTGACCTGATCGCGCGCAGTTTCGGCGAGCCCCTGCGTCGCGACTCGTTAATCTTGTCCGACCTGCCAAAACGTAAACGCTTAAGAGAGTACCTCCTGTAACAGCTGCGCCGATATGTAAAACACGAGGAGGAAGCATCCGCCGAGTCGTTATACTACCGACATTCTTAGATAGCGCTGCCCCCGGGACAGGTAGGCCCTGTTATTTATCGTCCGCCCTCCTGGCCGGTCGGCATTCCCCGGGGCCGATAGGCCCGCCCGGGCGGTGCATTTGCGCCTCCCCCCCCCCCCCCCCTCGAGATTCGTCTCAATCTTTGCCGTCCACCTGCGCCCGGCGTTTCACTTTCGAGGGGCCCCTCTCGATAAGGCCGCGGTCGCCTGATAAGAACCGTAAGAAACAGCGCGGACCTCCCGGGATCCCCGGAACCAGGAATGCCGAAATGTCTCGCTAAGGGGAGAAAAAAATATATTAAACATGGTATAAAATTCAATCAAGCGGGCAGGTGTAAAACTACGAACGTCTTTACACCTTTTGCGAGTCATTTGAAGCCCGCGGGTGCGCACCTCGCGATGCGATACAGTTACCGCGTTTCCGGCGCAACGCTGTCGGCCGATCGCCGGTGCAGTCGCTTACGATCCGACTTGCCGAAGGGGCTCGTCCTGCGTAATTATCGCTTAGATTGCTTAAAAGGTACGACATAAGGGGTGACGATTAGGGAGACACGCGCGGCCGCGAGATGAAACGCGCCTCACGTGGCCGCCTATACGGGAGCAGCATCCTGTCGATAGAGTTACTCTAGATTGGTTTAATTTCTTTTCTCTCTCACTTTTTTTTATTTTATTTTATTTTTTTAATACCTTTTTATCCTCTATTTTTACTTGGTCCGGTAAGTGTTACGTCTCGTCTCGCGTACTTCGTATCTGTATTACAGGGTGGGAAGGAATTCTCGTTAAGAATATTTCATGAGGTTCTTTTTTTACTTTGTTGAAGGGTCGGCATTATTTGGATACTTAAGGAAAATTGAGGGTAATTAGAGGGAAAAGTTTGACCCATGAAATGAAGGGTGGAAGGCGTGCGAATAGTTTTAGGGGGTTATCTTTATTCCTAGGTTTTGAGGTGAGAAATTGAGGCGGTTCTCCCTTTCTTTCTTATTTTCTCTGTGTTCGCCGCCTCTAAGAGCCAGGCATCCCGAACGGGGGACTAATTTGTCTCATGATTTTGAAGTCGAGGAAAGTTAATGCGAACAAACAAGTAACAGCGTAACTCGGAAGGGTAACTCGGGCGGTTTTGTAATGAATTGCTCGGAACTTGCGGCAAGTTGTAAGCACTGCGCCTCCTTTCTTCTATTTTTTTCTTATTTTTATTTCTGTTTTTACGAACTCCCGCCCCCTCCGATACGCCGTGAGAATAATCGGACACGATTTTTTTTTTTTAACTCGCGCCGTCTATCTTTATAACGCCATCGTCCTCCCTATTCTTCGTTCGCTATTCCAATGATGATGATCAACGGGCTATTCATTAATTAATATTACAGTATTCCTTGGAATATTTCAATAGGAAATGATCCAAAAAATAAGTATATACGGACCGACTAAGAGAAACTGATTTAAGGTATCGTTTTCGATCGGCTGCTAATGCACTCACGTGGAGAGCCCGCGCGCTAACGAGCTGTCACCGCGTGACAGCGATCAGCTGATCGCAAGCCACGTGACCTGGGGTCCGACTTATGTCCGGACGTCACTTTGCGGTGTCACATGGTTAGGCTCGAACTGACATGCCGGCAAGGAACGAAAGGACGAGATTCGTTAAACGGGAGAAAGGAAGAGAGACAGAGAGCCGACAAGAGGTCGATAATTGTTTTCTTTCTTTCTTTCTGGTCTTTTTTGTCTTTTTCTTTTGCGCAGTTGGTCGAATCGCGGGAGCGAGATTTTTGCCTCGGTTTGTACCCTCGCCTCGAGGGGAAGGGGGTCGGGTACTTTTGCCCCGGATTGTACGCGACCCACCTCCCCCTTCCCCCCTGTTACGGGGGAAGGGGGAAGAGGGGTGCGACGGTTCTCATGTCTGCCGTGTTTTAATTTTTGACATTATTTTCTCTGGTCGCGTCTCAATTATTCACGGGGGATCTCTCTCTCCCCCTCTATCTGTGTTTTTCCTTCCTGTCTCTTTTTGCATTTCTCTCTCTTTCCGTCCTTCTCGTTGTTGGCGGTCTCCTCGAATGCTCCCGACTCCATTCCGGCTCGCGTTCGAAAATAGAACCCACTCGGTAACATCGAAGCCGCGAATTTTCAGAGGGAGGGGCGGGAGTGGTTGAAATGCAAAAAAGAGCGAAAGAGGGAGGCGGGGGAAACCGAAAACACGGGAAAACTCGCCGCAACGCGATTTCGGTCCGGCTCTGTGATTTTTTTTTTTTTTTTTTTCCCCTCGAGGACAAACAAGAACCCGCCGAAAGCCACTTCGGCGAGCCGCGTGAAAAATCCCCTTCCCTTGGTTTTGATTTTCGATTTTGAAGACGACTTTGGTCCCGAGGATGTTCGGGGATGACGCGAAATTGTCGTCACGGGGGGCGAGATGGGGCCTGGCGTTTGTTTATTGCTCCCTGGAGTGGTTGGGGGTTATTTTATCCCATTTCCTTTTTAGAATGGGTGTTGAGGACTAAGATCACATATTTTTTTTTTTTTAGGGAAAAATGAAATTTCACGAAGGGCTCGTTCTTCCTTGGGGCGTTCACAATCACGTGTCAAAGTTTGAAGTTATTCAGGGGACCCTCTTCGGAGGAAGGTTTTATTTCGACGTTTTGGTACATATTGGAATGATCCTTTCGTAACCCCTTAAAGGGTTAAAACGCGAGATCCTATCTTACGCCGGTAGAATGAGAACCTCGGCGTCCCTTCCTTCCGCCCGCGACCACCTTCGCCTCCTCCTTTTCCTCCACCTTCGCCTCCTCCGGGAGGAGATTCCCGTTCCTCCGTCCCGGTCCGTCCGCCACCTCCGTTTACACTTTCCCGCGGATCCCACGGACGTCGCAGTTACGTCCCGCGGGCGCCGAGTTTTGCCGTCTCTCTACCTTTTCGCGTCCGCGTACCGACCATTGCACAAAACGCGCCCTCCCCCCTGCCCACCACCCACCCACCCCCCGGGACGCGACGACGTTTTTATCTTAAACACAGGTTTTCGTCCCCGACCGATCGTGCAAGGACAATCCAGTAACGCCTTCGCGGTGTCGCGTATCTTTTTCCTTTTCTCCTTCTCCTTTTTCCTCTTCCTCGCGACTTTTTATTCGACAAATGGGAGACGTCATTAGGGGGCGACGCGTAGGCGGCTTCTGAGGGGTCAATCGTTCGCGAAGCTTCTCTCTCAACTGGGTAGACGGAATTGTTTGACACTTTGTCCCGTGAACGCGGAGGGCCCTATGGATGGTCTTGATACCCGGGAAAATTCATTTTTTTTTTTTTACTTCTCTTTTTCTTATAAGGAACTTAACGATTGGGCAAGAAGGAGTGTTAAAGGATGAAATTTCGCGAGGGTTCGGGATTTCCTTAGGAATCGGGTATTTACGAGGTAAATTTTCAAATGAACGGTGCACTCGATTCGGTGAAGTGTTTCATATATCTGGCCCCGAGGATGTGTTTCATTTCATTTGTTCTTTTTTTCAAGCGGCTCGCCCGTTGACGTCGCGACGTGTACGCGCGGTGTTATCGGCGTAATTAAAAGGCACGTGACGTAACGCCTCAAAATCAAGGTCGACGTCATTACTGCGCTGCCATTTACTTTAGGTGACAGCGCGTGGACGCGCGTTATACAGGAGCGGTTAATTAACCGCGGACGAGTTTTACAGCTCGACGTTGTTGCTAATCAGCGAACGAATGTTTATCGCGAGTCGAGCTAATGGCCTTCCGGCATTATCGCTTTTTTTTTTCTTTTTTTTCCCCCAATATGGAGATTCGCGTTCGCTCTTGCTTATTCGCGATTTTGTTCGTCCGTCGAATTGGTTTAATCGGCACGAACAAATAAGAACATAAGCTTTGTGTTATTTTAGCTTCACTAGTGCTTCGTTTTTATCTTATTTTTCTTTATTTTATTATGTTAATTGTACATGGCCAGAAATGCAATTGAAACGTCCAATCGCAGAGCGACTCGTGGACCTCCCTGCACTTGCAGATACGTTATCGGCTGCTCGTTCAGTCGGCAAAGTAGAGCGCGACGCGCTCCCTTGCCCTGTTCCTCAGTTCCCATTTTTCTCTCTCTCTTTTTCGCACTCGTCCTTTTTTGTTTCTCTCTCTCCCTCATTCGGGCAAATCGCATTCCTGCGGCACCAACGAAGCGGCCCCTTCGCGAAATTAGGCAAAATTAGGATAAAGGTAGTCTCACAACGGCGCGTCACCTGAGCGCGCCCTGCGGCGGCGCCGCCCCCGCCCCCCCTGGTTGCATTATTAACCCGAGTGACGGCGGGGAGGGGGATAGTATTGATTTTTACCGATATTTAGCCGTGGAATTATCCCCTCTCGCCGCCCGGTTTGCCCCCCTCGGTCGCGCCCCTCGTCGGGCCTCCTCCACTCCCGCCCCCCTTCAGGGTCGTTCCCCTCACCCCCTCTCTTGCCCTTTGCCCCCGAAGAGGATTTAGTTGCCATTAATAAATGCGCGCGGGTACCGACTGACGAATTTCGTTCGTTTTCGCGGATAGTAATGAATTTTGCGACCATGTCCCGAGGGGCCCCTTTTTTTTCGGCGGAGGGGGACTGTAAATAAGGGGGGGTTCATCTTGTTCGTT